AGGACGTTTACGAAACCTTGTGTTGTATCTAGAAGGTACGGTAAGTAATACATCCCATCGTGTGGTCTACGGTCATGCGAGGGTTATTAATATTCTGGGATATGTCTTTTTTCACTCTTATGTCATGAACACTCAACTGTGAACAACCTGTTTCAGAAATGTTCAAATCAAGTCTCTCCATTGCCTCTTTTGTGAGTGAATATCAGTCTGAATATAAGTGTCTGATCTCATGCACCATAATTTTTGTCTTTCAGCTTCTAGATGAGAATTCACAACTTATTCAGGTAAATAGGTGTACATACATGTGTCTGTTTTAGTTCAGTTCATATCCCAGCAAACCAGTTTACTTTTGCATGGCTTTCATTACAGTTATGGGAAGGTGCTCATGACTAATTGCCTGGGGTGCTTATGTATGGAATCTGAGTTTAAGAGAAGGGCTTAATCATTAAGGGAAGAGGAGTTTATTCGGAGAGTTAGAGTTATGTAGTTTGCCTTAAAAATCCAAGTTAATGTAGCTGGCCTATAAAAACTTGATAATGATCTTGTCCTCCATGGAAGTTTTACAGCATTTAGTCAAGGTTTAAAAATGAGAGAAACATTCATAGAAGACTTGTTGCATAGACATGTACAGGTGCTTTGTAAGTATGTGAGGTTATTAACCAAAAGAGTGGGAAGAAAGCAATCTGATCTGCCTTCTGAACAATTTGCTGTTAGTTGGCAGATCCAATTTTAAACAAATTATAATAGCAGCAAAATTAAAATGGTGCTGTTAAAAAATGTCTAATGTTTTAAGTGAGGAGACAGTACTTATTTGAGGAAAGTAATTTATTTTAATTCTTGGGAAGGGATGGGGTGTTCAATCAAATATGCTATTGGTGTATACATCAGTTTGTTGCAATAAATATGACACTGCTATACAAGAACATTTTGGTTAGTATTCACCATTACAAATTGTCTATCCCTTCTGTAGGCTATTGTTGATTATCAGAGTAAAGGGAAAGCATATGAGTGCACACAGTAAGTAGTATCACTTTACAGGGATTTTGTTCATTAAAAAAAATGTTAAGTCTGTGCTCAAGCTGAGTGACTCATCCGGCATGAGTTAATTCCAGTATTTGAAGCACAGAATGACTAGAATTATTACCACACCCCCCTGAATGGGACGCTAGTCCATGCCAAGGTTACCCCCTCTACCTCCATCATTTTATCAAGCTTTCCTGACAACTTGCCATGGTCTCTGCCACATTTCATTCAGGAGTTACTCGTTTTACTTTCCTTCTAGATGCATGAAATTATCTGATCATTTTTTTTTGTTTCTTTGTTTTGTTTGTTTCCAGATACCAGCAACTTTTGCATCGTAATCTGGTGTACTTGGCAACATTAGCTGACTCCACTCAAAGCATGCAGAACACAATCCCAGTACGTGAATCATTAGTGAAATGGCTTAACTGGGCAGCATTAGAATTTTAAGAATTTTGAATCGTTGTGGATTTTGCTGAACACAAAAATTTTCCCACCAAAAAAGTCTTGCAAACTTTATGGCCCAAAAAATGTTTCTACCTTCAGTCAAATGAAAAATATTAAGTGAAAATAAATGTCAGCCCTTCAAATTTGATAATGTTACTTTCCAAGTTAGGAGAGTCCTTTTTGAAATTTGGAACAAATTCATGGAAATTTACTAAAAAATGTTGTCTCTGCAAAAAAAAAAAAAAAAAAAAAAAAAAAAAAGAGGATAAATACTCTGATTGATTGTCACTTTCATTTTATATGGGTGTTAACCCTCCATCATTGGTTATGAAAACAAAGGTGTTAGGTCAATAGAGTACAAAACCTGTTTAAAGTTGCATCACTAAAGTACCAGGATCAGTTTTCAGAATCTTTATCTCTTTCATTCTGAGAGCAGTGGAACACAGTTAGAAATTCTGATTGTAGCTGTTAGTCTCCCCTGCATGTTGGTTGTAACATTACATTCCCTTGCTCATGGACATTCTGTCAACAGGCTCCTGGCTCTCAGAGTAGTTCCAATAGACCCCCAGCATCTGCAACACCACCATCTGGGGGTGGTATGCACGGCCTTCCTGATATGACACCAAACTCTGGTACATCCTCAGACATGATGCCAACTTCAGGAGGATTGAATGCTGGAATGCCCTCAGGAATGAATGACCCAATGAAATCCAACATACCCCCACAACTGGGAGGAATGAGTGGTCCTACCACTGCAGGATATGGTGCCAGTTCAGTTGGTGGGATGGGACAGTCAACCTCATCTCCTCCTCAACTTCAGCATCCACCCATGACAGCACAGAGTCACATGGGTTACCCGAATCCCTCTCAAAGCCAACAGAGTCGACCGGTAGCTCCACCCACCATGTCGGGACCCATGGGAAATTTACCTCCACAGGTTCCACCCATTCAGTCTCATGCTCCTCCAGCTATGGGTCAACACATGATGTCACAGAATCAACCACAGTCTCAACAATACATGATGCAACAGAGGCAGATGCAATTCAGACAAGGTGCACCGCAACAGGTAACCCAACTTTTCCAAGTCTTGTGTTGCAATTGTGTTTTTTCTTTCTTCATACTTTACTTCCCTTATTTGTGTTTCTCCTCACTTGAAAATTAATGGTTTAACCAATTTATTTATCCCCTTTGAAATGTTTTTTTGCAGACAAATAACACTGTTAGATAAAATGATGATCATTATCATCAAAAATTATATCAAATTACCCTAAAATTTTAGACATAGGAGAATAATGGTGATATCACTATTGTTGTGTCGTGCATGTAGATGCCTCAGCAACAACAGTCGCTTTCACACAGTCACCCTGGATATGGGCCACCTAGCTCAGGAGGTTTGCCATCAACTGGTATGATGCCAGGGTATCCCTCACAGCAGCAAACACAAAGATTCAATCCTTACAGACAGCCTCCTCAGCAACAAGGCTTGTCACACATGCCATACCCAACCCAGCAACAGCCAGGACAGTCAGTTATGGGTCAGCAACCACCAATGGGTCAGACACCTGTGGGACAGTCACCCATGCAACAGCCACCACTTGTATAATGTGACTTGTCACAAGTCTGTAATATGACACAATTTGTTACAAGATCATGTGACTGAAATAGTTACAAATTTATGTTGCAAACATGGTTGTGGAAGTGTTACACCCAGTTTGATAAGATCTGGATCAGAAGTACCACTGCCCTCATGACATATGTTCTAGCTCTGCAAGTGTATCCAGCCACAACACATCATCTGAATGTCTACATGAGGTTCTTTAGAAGACTCTCTCAGGGAGATATATCCTATGCTAGCATCAAACTGACTCTATTAAGAAGATAAGGTCGTTTTATTTATCAGAAATTACGTGGAAATTATAAATCTTTCTTGTCAAATGCTTTCTATAACCTCTCCCCTTCACTTTCACCACCTGCCCTTGTAATGTGGTTCAGAAAGTACCCTTGTTGAAAGAAATGCTTTGGTATTTACAAGCCTGGGTTAATAGGTCACATTGTATATTTAAAACTTCCTGTAAATAATATTTAGATTTCATGGTTTACTTCAATACGGTAAGTTGTGTTTTGTTTGCACAAAGGCAAGGTATACAAGAATTAGCAGAAATTTTTCTTTTAAGAATTTGAGATATTTAATCTTGTAGGAACAAAGGTTTGTCACCAGAGATGCTGAAATCTATTTTGGGAATAATTTTTGCAATTTTCTGTTTAAGCAGAAAATGAAGATGGTAAAAGCGAAATTTTTCTAGAGTCCAACTTCAGGTTAACAGGAGGACTAATAAGTAATTATTTGAAGTTGAGCTTGATATCATGAATGATTAATGCCAAGGTTGGAGTTATTGTGCTCAAACCAAAGGCTTGGGCAGATAACACAGACACAAGGTTTGATAATTCATGATATCATGCAAAAACAGAATTCAGTAATTGTTTTATTATACATTTTTAAACAATTTGCAAAAGAAGACACCTCTCTCCAAGTTGGCAAAAGTTTGAGAATGCTACAGATGAGGAGCTTGGAAATTAGTCAGACTTTGAACTTGACATGATATCTACAGATATTGGGTTATTATGTTAACTTCATGTGCTGTTGTATATTGACTGTATGCTCTCAACCAATCAGAGTTTTCCCAGTAAGTCTAGTGTATAATAACCAAGATCATCAGTTGAGTATTGTGTGGAAAAGGTTTGGTGACAGGATCTGGACTGAATGAAAACATAATGGTGTTGTCATGGGCAACCATCCTTGTTTCTAATGGTAACCGAGTCTCATATTGTATCCCAAGAGCCACACGTCAACAATGACCCAAAAGAACTGACATTGCCAGTGGAAACTGAGCCATTTGCTTGTTACAAACAGATTTAACATCAAATCATGATCACTAAACTTCTGTTGTCTCTCTCAATTGAAAATCATAGTTGTAGTAAGAGTGGAAATAAAAGAATACAAGTTGACATTTGACTTCCATGCCAAGTTTTTGTCAGGCTGAAAGTAGTTATTTAATCGGGCATGTCAATTTCTGAATCTAATCTATGTACACCAAGTAAAGTTTAGAGACCCAGGCACTCAAAACTACTGAAACAGTGAAATGGAAAACTCAGAGTTTGGTTTAGTGTGGTTGAACATGAATGGGGTGAAATGTCACAAATAAATTTTTGTGAAATCTACTTGGATAAATTATATACTGCACTTGGCTTAAGTGCAGGGGCATTTACAACCAATAGCCCTGCAAAAGCCTGGTACTTGAAACCATCTTTAGTCCAACTTTATCAGAGCAAGAAAACCAGGAGTTTGATAGTCATTCTTTTTGTCTTAAGGAGCCATGTTTGTAGGATGGAAGATTACAACAGTTGTGAAACAAAGATTCTCTACTTCACAAACCATTGCAGTCCTCAAGTAACCATTTTCACAAGAAAATGCTAGAAAATAAATTGTCACAGCCACAATTGAACAAGCAATTGGAAATTGTTCATTTTTTTTATTTTGTTCCTTTAATGTTCAAATATTTTTAGAAATGCTTGAAGACTCACTTTATTGAAGATTCTTCCCCAGAGAAAAAAACCTTTTAAATTAAATTAAATCATTGTTAAACACCCCTACATTGTATGTGTTGATAATAGTTAACTACTTTAAAGTTCACAACATTTGTGCAAATGAAGAAATTCAAAAGGAAATACCGCAAAGAAACCATGAATTGCTTAAATGTATGTGTGTAGAAAAATTATACCACTTGTAAACCATTACATCTGTGATAAATATTTAGTCCATGGGTACCCAAAACATATTATTCCCAAACATTTTTATTAGTATAAGCATTAATAGCAAGGTGAAAATAACAATTTCTGTTTGTTAAAGAGGGTCACTTTGTGACACAGCTGTGAAATGCAAACATAACTTTAATGCATGACATATCTTCTGACATTTATTGTATACACGAAGCCAATAATGATACAATAATATTATGTCTTAGAAATACAGCATGTACAAAATTATGAAAGAGCCATATACAGCTATGCATTCATGGTATTTTCTTGTCAAAGAATATCATTCAGCAACTGGACATTTCCACAAAACTGATCCCTGACTGCAAAGAGCTAAGATTAACCACAACACTACAAACAATAAAGTCTGTGGTCAGACCACAATTAGTCATTCCATGACTCAAAAAAAAAAAAAAAAAAAAAAAAGAAAGAAAAAAAGAAACCCAAGTAAATAAGAGACAGAAAACCAGAAAATTTTTTCAAATTAATTATCAGTGGCTTCATGCTTTGGCAGCTGCTTCACCATCTCCTCCCTGGAAACAAAGACATGACAAGAAGAATTAAATAAATTTCCACAACTATATCACTGCTTTACCACTGTAGATTTCCACTGCCCTTTCTAAGACAAGACATCTTCCAACAGAAGATTGTAAAAGTTTTGGTTCTGCATTTGTTTTTTTTCACAGCCAAGGTTTTCCACCCCAAAATTTATAATCGGTCAACATCCTGCTGCTATGTATAGTAACTTTAACAACTTTGTTAATCAAACAACCTCATTACAAAAATAAAATCATATTTCTCTCTCTGAACAAAAACCAAGACAATTTCCTACCATAGCTGGTCCATTGGGTAGATTTCTTGGTAATTTGTCATTACCATTAATGGGTTGATCTACATAGGACCTTGAGCGGTCACCTCTGGAACCACCACGCCCACCACGCCAGCCTCCACGTCCTCCTTGACTACTGCCATCATGTCCTTGATACCTATTTCCACCTCTGCCACCTCTGTAACCTCCTCGACCTCTCCCTCTTCCTCTCCCTCGACCTCCACGTCGCATGCCACCAGTTACTCCAAAGGTCTCCATGTTTACTTTACGTTCTTGCTGCCATGAAGGGTGAGCCCTGAGAAAAGAAATCAATTTTAAAAATAGCTGATTAACACTCCATTTCACAATTGTTACCTGTCAATTGTAAACCCATGCAGCATGCACAAGTTGAACAAGGACCACTGCAAGAGAGGTGTGGTAAAGTTTAAAAAAATGAAAGACAATACCGTCTATTTCTGTTTCTGTCCTTTGCCTCACAGGAAATACTGTCAAAGAAGGATTTGGAACTATCATAATAATTGAGAGGGCTTGAAGGTTGAGCATCACTAGCATAATTTTCAGGTGCACTGATTGCTTCACTTTCATCCTAGAAATAAGAACTCATCATTAGTCACACAGTCAGTGTTTAGCTTAGTCAGAAAAATTACTTTGTAGACACATTAAGAACTCTTGGGGTTTTAACAAGGTACAGTGGTAAGGAGAGCATTCCAACCTGATCACACTTCCCTTCCAGTTGAAGATTTACTCTAATCAGTGTGCAAAAGCAAGGTCTTTTCTATTTTTTTTTTTTTTAAGGTAGAAGTTTGGCAAATGCTGTTACTCAAATATAAATTTTGTAGTGGACTAGTACAATTTCAACAACAAAACTGATACCTATCATAATTAGTTATTTAGTCTAGAACATAGGTAGTCACTCCCTCGCATAAAAGCAATAAACAAATCATTTCCAACTACGGCCTACTCAAGAGGTTCAACCACATAGCAAAGGACTGTCAAAACGTATCCACAATAAACCTTTTAGACAGGAAAAGTAGTAGCTCTTTAAGGTTCAGCATCTTTAAGATCCACTATTCATATGCAAAGAGTTTTTAGCCAACAAACATCATTCTTATAATCAAAATGAATTTATGCCTACAGGCAAGTGCAGATAAGTGTAACTCATTACCTCGTCTTTCAACCTGAGGTTTTCGTAGAGCTTCTGCTGTAGTTCCTCCTCAATTTCTTCTTTATTGAACTTAGCATTTGAACTCTCAAAATCAAACTCGCCCTCAAATTTAACAGGACCACCAACTGTTCGTGGTTTGTTGACTCTTGGACCAGATCCTCTTCTTCCCTGTGGACGACGATTACCCACTAGAAAAAACAATTTGGTATAAAGTGAGATTGGGAATACTGCAAATAGAATTACGGTCAAGTCACCAATGGTTCAACTCGCCAATGCCAACTCACCAAGAAGAAGTTAGAAGTTAAACATATAGAAAAGTTAAATATCTTTAGTAAAAAACAATTTTTTTTCCTTCAACAAAGTTTATAAGGATCTCATTCAGAACTTCTAGTTGTAATTTTTAAACAGTTGTTACAGGGTTTAAATTAATTTTGGTTTTAGAAGCAGTTTTAAGTTCTGGAATCAAAGAGAGACACTTTTGACACAAAACTATTTTCCTCTATGACAACTTTGTCCTTTTCTTTGTGGTTCTCGGAGTAACCTTCAGAAATGATAACTGGCCATATAGCTTACTTCGAAACAAGCCTGGTGGTAAACATAACTCTGTATTATGCAATTTTTTCCTTTACTTTTTTTTAGGTTTGATGATTCTAATTTTACATCTAGAGCCCTGTCGCTTATAAAACTTCAAAATTGTCAGCGTACTCTCAAATTTTACTGACTTGAAATTCATGATCATGCCATGGCTGTGAACCCCATTGATATGCTTGTTAAATCACAAGAATCTCCACTCATTTAATACGTTTGGCAAAGACCAAAATTAATGAAAAGAAATTTACTAATGACATTCAATGCGAGATTATTCACTGAAACCACAGTTAACTAAGTGAGGTGAAAAATAGAGTCTTTAAGACAAGCATGAAATTATTCCGGCTATATGAAAGTATCATCATCACTAAGTTAAGTGCAAACAAGTTTCATTGTAAAATCATTAAAATATCATGTTTCCCAGACCTTGTTTCTGTTTCTGAGGTTCAGTGGACTGGGTTTCCTCCGTGGGGTCTTTATTAAAAGTTTCCTCATCTACTACCTCTTGTTTCTTCTTCTTCTCTTGAGATGCAGCCGTTTTGTCTACTGAGCCTCTTCTTGACGATGGTCTAGAAGATGGTTTCTTCTTAGCCTGAACTGTTTGAGTTCCTTGCTGAGCTGTGCTTTTATCATGAGCTGTATCCCCCCTTTTATCCTCTGTTTTAGAAGTGGATACCACAGGTGTTACAGTTTCTGGAGATGGTGTATGACTGCGAGACAAAGGTACAGGTTGAACTGTTGGTGGTGTGGGTATCCTTGGAGGCATCATAGGACCAGGTGGCATCATTGCTGGATGTGGTGGAATGGGACCTGGCATTGGTCTGTGGTGTGGTGTGTAACCGCCATATGGCGAACCAAATGGAGGATATGTGGTTGGATGAGGTGGGAATGATACAGGAGCAGGGAAATGAGAATAGCCAGGAGTTGGAACTCTTGAACTACCAGACTAGCAAAACAATCAAAATGGAAATAAAAAGTAAAAATTTAAATTAACATCCTAAATGGTAGGAAAAGGAAAATGGAGAGAGTGATTGTTCATTACACATTGCCCTGACAAGGGGCTAATGGTGTTATAGTGGTCTACTTATCTTAACTGATTTAATAACCAGGTATGTGTATATTTTGCCCATAAGCAAATATCAGTTTTTAAAGTTTAAATTTTTTTTCCAAAACAATCTTTTATTTAATGTCTGATTTTTAAAATTCTTTTTCCAAAACAATTATGATCTTTTTATTTAATGTCATATCTGATGAATTTCATATTAAATAGTAAATTTCTTTTGTATATGAGCTGGTTATAAACTACCTAGTTTGCATTTCGGCTTTGAAACCTCCATGTTTTTACTTACCAAGACATTTACCAAATGTTTTGCTTCTCAATGAATTTGAGTTATTCAATTTGTTTTCAAATCCTAAGATACTACTGAATTGAACTCCACTCGCTCATTCTGTTTGCTTCCACATCCATATTTTTGGTTTAGTAAACATTACGTCTTGTCTCGTTTGCTAGATATTCTAAAATTGTTTCTCGCTTTCGATATGACTAGGTGTAACTTAACAGTTCTGTAGCTTGCCCAGTGCCTATATTACGTTTAATTCAATCGATGGAATCATTTCGACTAGCACAAGTTCTTAATTTTTTTTTTTAAGAATACAAGTCTTGTCACGTAATTATATTTTTTCACACGTACGATGTAAATATGGCGTTCGTGAGTGGACTTATCTGGGCATAACAAGCTCAACCCATTAAAGCCATGACAAACTTTGTGACCTAAGTACGATTTAAAATCATGTTGACTTAAGCATTTATTTTACTGTCTCTTTCAAGCCGGAACTGAAAGTGAAATGAATTGTTGTTGTCAAACAACTTATTTCCGTCACTTGACTTAAAACAAAGAATTCGCTGCGAATTCGAGCTGTAACTACACATTACATAGGCTTCCTGCATGGCATACCTGGACAATGGCTGGGTCCTGAGGTAAATGCGACTCAGCACTTATTACAGTTAGATCTTTGATGTCCTGTCCTCGAAAAACAATGTACTCGTAAACCTCGTCCCTTGGAGGAACCCTTTTAGGCGCCTCTCGGTCTTCCGTTCCAAACGAACGCACTGCAAACAAAGCAAAAGGAGAGAACACGGTGAAAAAAATGTAATATCCCAACAAAAACAGAAAAACATTGACCAATGCCAGAAAACTAACCCTGTGCTAACGTCACAACAGATTCCTTGGTGTCAATGGAATACAAAATTCCCTCATATCTAATTTCTGACTTGGAAACTAAGCTTATTTTAGTGCCAAGGTATGGAGTTCCCGAAGACATTGCTGTACAGAGGAGATATAACTGAAACTATACAAAGATGGCCTAGGATGGCCGGGATTGGAGTTAGGGGTTACTGTCTGTCAGCAAAAAGCAATATGGCTGAGCCGGATGAAAGTGTTTTCCTCAAAGAAGTGTGGGAAGAGTGACGTCATTTGAAAAGACTCGCAGTATTTTTCAGTGAGCTCAGATACAACAGGGGAAGTACCCATTTGAAAAGCTGCTGTTCAAGATAAAACATTGCGCGGGCGAAAACAGTATGGCGACGTTCAGCAGCTCAAAGCTTGCTTCGAAAACAGCTATTTCTTGGTTCGAGTTCTTGTTTGATACAACAGGAGATTTGTTGAAAAAACACTTAGGGGAAGCATCAGCAGGTTTGTAGCATTTACCATTTTGTTCTTGATATTTATCGGCCAGAATTCCAGTTTTGCGAAAGAATATTGGAAAGAAAGCTGGTTATATTATATGGTATATGAGGAACTTTCCAAAAAGGGAATTTACATCAATTTCTTCCAAAGTTGGGAGAAATGCACTAGAAGTCAAGTTAGCACTGAAAGTGTGCATTTGTAGGGTATACTCCAGGAGGATGTGGGGTGGGGAGAGTGTGAGAGGAGGGGGGTGGGGGTGGTGATGGAAGTTTCATCTCATCTCAATACCTGTGATATATTTATATTTTTAGCATTTAGTTGTGTTGTTGTTGTTTTTGTTTTAATTAGATGGAATCTTGCTTAGCTAAAAAGTAATACATTGATTTCATAATTCCAGAACCTTCAGCCACACAACTCATTGTTCAATTTCTGGAACACTCTGGGTTGGTCAACAATAATGTGGTATGTAATCTCTCCAGGGATGAGAAAGATGAAAATTAATGTTTGTACTCATGCGAAGTGGCCTATCCATCTGTGCCATCCCCACCCCTCACCCCTCAGGTGGGGTTCTAGTTCATTGCAAGATACTCCTCAGAATTTTGTCAGGCTTCCTTGACAGTTTGCCAGCATGCATTTATACTCCCAGGTTGGTAGAGGTGGAGGGTTAGTTAAGTGACTTGCTTATGAACACAACATATTGACCTCCCCACCAGAAGTGGGATGCTAGCTCATTGCAGGAAACTCCCCAGAATTTTGTCAGGCTTCACTGACAGTTTGCCAGCATGCATTTGTACTCCCAATAAAATATACTCCATTTTTTGATTAAAGTCAATTAAAACTGTGTCATGAAACACTTTAGAGAAAACAAAATTTTTGGGATTCCTTTGCTTTCTCTGAAGTGATTGTGAAAAAGTAAAACTAATGATAATGAGGTACCCTTGTTTGGTGATGATTACAGGATGTAAGGAAATTTGGATAACTTTATTTTGTTGCCTTGTATACATTGACCCACTACTTAACATATATCTTTCTCTCGCTCGGTTTGTCACAATGTTGAGAATTTTAATTGTTTGGAAAGAAGTGCACATTGATAACATTTACTTGTCCTCATTGCCAAGATGCCTAAATGAAAAGGTACCTTAACATTAAAAAAAAAAGCATTGTGTTTATGTTTATAAGGGTGCTGCTTCTGAAACTCCTCCAACTGAAAACGGAAGAGTACAACGCCTCTGTCACTTAGCTTTAAGGATTGGAACACATCTGCAGTGGAATCTGGAAATTTTGGAAGAAAAGTAAGACATAAATATTGATCAAGCTTGTCTTTGTAGTGTTAAAAATTCATGAGTTATTTAGGTTATTTTCACTTGTAATCTTAACCTAAATGACTCATAATTTATCCTTTAGTCTTTCTCTTCAATGGCAAAGCATTTTGTTGGGTGAACTCATAAAGAGAACCCCAGGATTAGATGAGGTGAGCCAATAAATTTAAAGACAACAGTAAAATTACTAGATAAGAAAAAATAATAACATTATGATTTTTGGTGATCTATGCTAGGCTGTCAATTAATAAGATTTAGAGTGGATGTCATGTTCTATAGTCAAATTACACACAAGACTGGAAGCTTTTCAGTCAAGATGTCCCAGTCTAGTTCATACAAACCTAAATCTTCAACTTGGAAGTAATTCACATCTAAACTAGTAACTGGTAAATTATGCATTCACTTACACTGAAAACAAGAAAACAGGTGCTGCACAGATTTATTTGATGGCATATTAGTAATTTGGTAATTAAAAAGTGGTTGAAAGTTGCCTATGTCTAGTTGGTGGCTATAGGCATCTCCCTGCCCTGGTGACTGGCTCTCACTGACAGCTGCTCAGTTATAGCTTCTGCTAATTGGAATTATGAAATTGTTGCTAGTTTTGGATTAGAGCTAAGTACTGTTAGCAGCTGTTACAAAGAACAAGGCAATGAAATTTTTAATTTGTGTTAACTTTTATCAAATTTGTTCTTAGGTGCTTAAGAGTGATACAGATATCAGTAAACTGGACAAAAAACATGCAATGACTCTCATAATTTACTATAGATGGTAGGAGTTTCTAAAATGTTTTGCCAGGAATGAATGCTTTTGTCATTTTATTTCTTTTTTCACTTGTTTACTAGAAGAAAAATAAAAGTAGGCATTGAGTGGTGTTAAAAGCTAAATAGCAAGATACTGAATTATCTTGTGGATACAATGAATCTGATGAGTTTGTAGTAGCACATAGATTTTTTATGGTATTTTAAATGTCCAACTTACCTTGATCATCCATGTTTATATTGTTTATAGTCATAACTGTTTTCCTTACAGGTTGGTTAGGACTCTGTCTCAGCATTTTCTTCCTAATGTTGAAAAACCTACCAATAATGGGTTAGTTGTTAAATTTATGGAGTAGCAAAGACCATGATTACATTAGACTATCCATTGGAAATATTAGTTAAGTGCAAAACAGTCATGCTTGGTTGTTCAAAGCTTGGTTAAGATGACCCAGGGTTAGTGAGAAATCTGATTTCAGATCTGAAAGCTTAAAAGAAAATTCAGTTTAATTCCTTTGTCAACAATTTAATTATTAGATGCTCCAAAAAAGAATAGAGATAATCATCCTGAAAAGGCTTTTGAACAAAGGAATATAGAAAGCTGGATTAAAATTTAACCTTGGGTTAGTGCTAATTGGCCTTTGAATAACTGGGCCCAGGACCCTACTGCATTAAGGTGGCTTTGGTTCATAAGATTTTTGTTCATGTGGTCATTCATCAGGATCAGCGTTCCATATAAAATTATCAAGATATAAAGATATAAAATTATCTTCATTGTCTTTGTTTAAAAAGAAAGTAAAGCAGCAATTTATCAAAGATTATTAGACATCTGTATTGTCTGTGTAACTTTAAAATGGAAATAATACTGTTTTTCAATGTATGAATTTTAGTCTCTTTAACAAACTGGTAGTTTACCTTTGTGTGCGTTTCTGTATCTCTTTGTTTTTGTGTCCCTGACCTAAACATTTAAACATCTTTATTTTCAACTGGCTGCCTGGCATTTTTAACTCTTAGGTTATTTCGGGCAGCCAGTGCCCCTATCATTGTCTGTACTATTATTATAAATTTTTCTTTCTTGTATATTTTGGGGTGAAAAAATAAAGTTGTTGTTGTTGTTGTTGTCCATATGCTTTGAATCTATAGACCTGAGAGCTAATTCCCCCTATAGATACCTATTCATTTGTCTGTAAGCTAGTCTTGAGAATTTGGTATCACATTATAACAATATCTCCTGGTTGATATTTTGACTTGCCTTGTTTATATTTTCAAACTTTTCAGTCTTACAGCTGACAACTTGGCAAATGAAAGCATTCTTAAAAAGGTAAGAAAAATTACCTTAAAAAAGGTAATTCCCTAATATATGTTAAAGGTTAAATTTGATTCCAGGTTATTTTTTATTTAACCTAGGTTGATTTTTTTTACCTCAGGGTCAGTGGGTCAGTGGGGACAGGGAACATACAAGTTTTGAGCATCTCTTTACTTTAGGGGAGAGTTAGTCTGTCCTTTTTTCCTTTTTTTTGTTTTCTTGTGAAAATAGTAATGAAAAGTTTTATCTGTAGCTTGAAGAGCAGCTACCATTTGCTGTCCAGATACTTGAGCAAGCTCTGGGGCTAACTGAGGACATGGTCCTTCCTTCAGCTCCTTCACTGGCTGCTGCACCTAAAACAACTGAGCTATCTGAGCAAGAGAGGGAATCTGATGAGGGAGTACCAGCTAGTGATGATCAAGAACAGAATTTGGAAGTTGATGACCCCAACAATAGTGAGACTGAAAGCAAAGCCGTTGTCAAGAATGGTTCTGATGAAAAGAATGGCTCTGATGCTGTTGAAAGTCTTGATTCAAATACAATTGAAGATGTAAAGATTAAGAGAGAAGACATCGTTGCTCAGGTATGGAAATTTTCACACAATCAGATTATTATTTGCAGGTTAGTGTTTCTAAAAAATAGTGAATTCAGCTCTTCACATTTTGGTTGAAAACTTCTTTTTGTTGTTTTTGTTTTGTTTTGTTTTGTTTTAAATCCTTTGCTTTTATTACAAAACACAATTCTACAAAACATTACTTACAATGCAAGACTCATTATGCTAGCAATACAGTACTGAATATGGTTACTTACAAAAATATAATTACTTGCAATATGGGCTACTTACACTACTAATAATATAATACTCTACTTACATTGCTTGCTGAATATACAGTTACTTACAATACATTATATGGTATGTTGACTTTGAGGAGGCAGGAGTACTTCTCAATAAAACATATAATTAAGACAAATTTTCAAGATTGTATTTAATGAGTAGCTTACTGATAAAATCCTGAAAGGAGATGGCCAGGCTATTTAACTTGGCTGAATAAATATAATGGCACATAAATAAGGCGGTGTAGTTGAATTTCTGTATTATTGTTGTGTCGTGGGAGCTTGCAGCAATACCAAACAAGGTCTCCTCTGTGGTAGGAGAGATTTGGCACGCATTCACTTGGTTGAACCAGTTCAAGACCTTTTGGGTAAACAATCTGGTAAACATATATTCGATAAAAGAGTGCTGAATTGAATCTCTATTTCTGCGGTATACACATTCATTGTCTGCCTTAAAACCAAATCTGAAAAGTTCTTTCTTAGTTACCATCTTTCTGTGGATTAATTTAAATTTAAATTCTTTTAATTTAGTTTCTCCACAAATGTTT